GCGACACGGTGCGCACATTGCAGCCGAGATACCGATTCAGATACTGGATAACTCGGACTCGGAAACTCGTTCGGCTTGTTTGCCCATGCACATTTTGCGGCATTCTACGGTCTACAGTCTACAGTCTACGCTCTACCTAGACTGCCTACCTGCCCACATCGGTGAGCGTTCCAAACATGCGCGCATGTGCGGCATGTGTTGCATGTGCGACCCGCTCTCTTGCCTAGTTCCATTTCCATCCCGAGATCTTTCCAATTCTGGGTTCTCGACTCTCAGTTCTTGGCGTTTCATGTTTTTATCGGCCTGTACTCGAGCTTCTCTGCCTCGCTCGCCGCTCTGTATTTAGATGTCTGTGTCTGCCTTTCGGTCACACATTTGTGGATCTCCGCTTTGCTGCTTTCTTCACGGTTCCGCTCGACAGTAGCTCGCCGAACGTCAACGTGCGATAACTGGAGTACATAGTATATAGAACGATCCCTCCGCCTCCGTCTGTTCCAATCTGTGTTCTGATTGTTCGGCCTGGCAAAAAGAAATTAAAACGTTGGCGGCGTTCTCATTACGCTTTCGATACTCATAATTAGCTGGAAGAGGAAGAGCCTCCATGGAGGGCGATAGCTGAACTGGCCACTGCGATTTAGATAGCATAAACCCACGGTCAGAGACACATTAACTGAATTTTCCCAGCCCAGTACAGCCATGAGTTTCCGCTACTCGACTCGGCTGATTCAAGTGAGTCCAAATGGGCACAAAGTGAAGCTCCAAACTCCAGAAAACAGAAGCTATTAAGTTGACTTAATGTACAGAAGCTGAGGTTGATTACTTAGTTTTTCATAACAGAGTGAAAATTCATAAGAGGTCTTAAATTAATAGTTAAGTTACCTAAACACATTAAATATCTAGTCCCATCTAAAATGCATCGTTTGATAAAATAATAATTTTTATTAATTTTACTTAACTAACAGGACACACGTCTGGATCTAGACCTCAAAGAGGAAAAACTCGCCTCGCTGCAGCGGGAACTGGAGGAGATGACCTTTGGCGGCGGCACCGAGGAGGAGTTTGCCCAGCTGCGGCGCTCCAAGAACGAAACGGAGCGTCGGGCCAAGGAGCAGGAGGAGGAACTGGACGAGATGGCCGGCCAGATCCAGCTGCTCGAGCAGGCCAAGCTGCGCCTGGAGATGACCCTGGAGACGATGCGCAAGGAGGCGCGACGTGAGTCCCAGCAACGCGACGAGGAGCTCGAGGAGGTGCGCGGCAATGGCTACAAGAAGATCAAGGCTCTCGAGTGCCAGCTGGAAACGGAGCACGAGGAGCGCACGCTGCTGCTGCGGGAGAAGCACGAGCTGGAGCGCCGGCTCTCCTCCATGGAGGACCGTGATCGCGTTGACCGCGATGCCGAGGAAGCCCTCAACCAGAAGCTTCGACGGGATCTACGCAAATACAAAGCCCTGCTCAAGGATGCCCAGACACAGTTGGAGCGCCTCAAGGCAGACACGCCCGGCAAGACGCTCATCCGACAGCTGCGCAACCAGCTGGAAGATGCCGAGTCCGCTCGTTCGCTGGCCATGAAAGCGCGGCAAACGGCCGAAGCCGAACTGACCGAGGTGCAGGCCATGTTCGAAGAGTCCCACCGGGCCAGGAACGACGCCGAGGAGCGAGCCAATGCGGCACACAGGGATCGCGCCGAACTGCAGGCCCAGATCGAGGAGAACGAGGAAGAGTTGGGCGAGCTGATGAAGAAGTACAGCGCCACGGTGAAGCAACTGAACACTGAGCAGATCAACGTGTCCGAGGCTGAGTTCAAGCTGAACGAGATGGAGGCAGAGCGCAACAATCTCAAGGAGCAAGTGGGCGAGCTGCAACACCGCCTGGATAACGTGGAGAATCTGGGCGATCCCTCTATGGCCATGATGTCCAAACGGTAAGTGAAGGTGGTAAAGCTGTCTATCTTAATTGTTCTAAACACTATCAAACAATCAGGTTGGAGCTGCGCACCAAAGAACTGGAATCCCGACTCGAACTGGAGCAGGCCACACGGGCTCGTCTCGAGGTGCAGGTGAACCGTCACAAGGAGGCGCTGGAGAAGCTGCAGAACGAGGTGACGCAGTCAAAGATGCGTGAGATGCAGGCCCAGGACGTGATCAAGAAGTCGCAAAAGAGTCTGCGCGACATGCGCGAAGAGTTCCACACGGTCTCCAGTCGCGAACAGGAGTCGCTGACGCGGCGCAAGGACCTGGAGAAGAAGATGGAGCAAATGGAGTCCGAGGGGGCGGCCCTGAAGAACGATCTGCGCTTGGCCCTGCAGCGGATAGCGGATCTCCAGCAGGCCATGGAGGAGGAGGGCGAGGAAGAGCTGAGCGAAAGGTAAACAAGCTTAACGATACCTAGGGATAGTAGCAAAACTAATGGTTATCCATTGCAGTGATGAGAGCATCAGCTCGGTGGGCTCAATCAGCGATCTGGAGGATCGGCTGAGGCCAGTGCATGTGAAGCGCAGCTCACAGCAGTCGCTTAACGGAAGCATTGGCGGCGGAGGTGGCTCCGTTGTCAGCTCCACCCGCACCGTGGTCTTCGAAAAGGACGACAACAGCCCTAGGTACGCTGATAACGAAGTCAACTCGAACAGCAGAAAGCAGCACAAGCATTAAGGCCCAAGCACCCAGCATAGACTCTATCTATCTCTCACCCTCTATTTGTCTGACTCTTAATATGCCTATCGCTAGTTAGCCAGTTAGCTAGTCTGTAAGGTCTGTTGCTATTTGCCGGCTTATCTAATTTAAATAATTAAACCATACATGCAAACCATCCGCCACAATCCACATCCACAAACGACCCAAAAAACCAAAACGAAAACCGCCGCCAACACTTAAACGCTGTAACGCTCCAATCCACCAATGACTCCTGCCAATTCAAACAAAATCATAAAAACCAAACGCCCGATGCGTGTAAATATGTTAATGCGTATGTGACAAATGAAAACCAAAACACACAACAAATCCTCATTCCGCTCCGCTCTGATCCGCTGTACCGCCCCCGCTCCGCTCCGTAACAACAACAACCCGCCCCTTCCTCCTCCGCGTGTGTGTGCGTGTAAACCATTAGCTTTTTCTTATTGTAGAATTACAGTGACGTCGCCATCGTCGCCACACATTCATAAGCTGGCACTGGCGGCCAAAGCCATACCGGCCCACAAACCGGACACAAAACCTGCAGCAGCCGTGGCCAAAACCAGGATGGGATTGGGACTAACAGTGCCAGTGGGCCAGCATAATGGCCAGGATGCTGCTGGACTGGCCAAGCCGTAGATCCATATTGGGGCTGCTATTTGTAATTTGTAATTTTGATTTTTATTTTTTGGATATTTATTAATTGTTTATCATTATTATTTGATTACTGTTTAGTTCAATATGTTTAACTATTTATTATCGAAATATAGCTACATGATAATATATGATATGAACCCTATAGGCATTCAACAGCAATGCTTAATCGTAGTTAATTTAATTTGCGCGACAGTCCCTAAATAAAAAGTGATTAACATGTTTTATCTCTCTCAAAACAAAAAAAAAAAAACAAAAAAACTGGAACTAACACCTATAGCCTATATAGAATATAGTCCATTATCCTATAGCCAACTTAAATGAAATTAGTTAAACGCGTTTCAAAACCATAGGCAAGTGTATGCTAAACGCAATAAATTAAACCTTTAATCAAATTAAATACTAAAAACTGAGTATTTTACAAGTAACTCATATTCTTATACGAATCATCGACCCCTTCATAACATCAGTAGTTAAACAACGTCATTAGCGTCATTCATCACATATTGAAAGGAAAATCTTATAAGTAAAAAACACATTAATATATATTGGAATACGAAATTTTGCAGAAATCATTAAATAACAAGAAAGATTCATGAAAATCCTTATAAAAACTAACAAAACGAACATAAACAAATAAATATATTGTTATAAAACTCAATAACTGAATTTTTCTATCAGAAAAGTGTTGTTCTAATTTCAGAAATAAAACTGCATACGATTTGTCTATCATTTCTATGGCATGGATCTTGATCATTTTGATCTGTTAATGTATAGCATACTTTTTGGGTAATATTACCTTTAAAATTCTTGTAAAATGTATGTAAAGTGTCCAAAGTTGGAATTTAGGCTTCCATCTAATGAATCCAAAAATCACAGGATCTTAATGACCTTATAGCCTTTTGCATTTAACTTTTCCAAGCAATCAATGTAATTCCAGTTTGAATTGATAATCTTCAATGCCCGTTTTCTTTGGCCCAAGTTTTTAGTCAAGAAGCAGCCATCAAAAGTCAGCACCTAAAAATGGCATACAAGCACTTGGCCTAAAGCTGAACTTCCTGGTAAGAAGTAAGCCAACTCTTGAGCATTGATTTATTTGTGTAATCACGCACGCTGGTAGGTCGAGGTCAAATGTGTAAGACAGGGGCTAGAAATCTGGCACCCACTTACCCACGAAAGTGGAGCCCAAAACCCATTAAGTGGCACCATTCGGCAGTCGCCATCCCGGGTGACTTTGAAAGTTGCAGCTATCGCAATCGGAGTCCCACGCCTGGAATCCCGAATCGGTCACGAATGAAAGCCAGGCACGCAAGTTGACTCCAACGCTTTGGGGGAAGGCCGCGAGCACTTGAAAACACTTGTTGTATGTCAAAGCCGGAGGCCCAGACATCAATCACAATCACAATATACCGTCTGGCGATGGCTTTCCAATCTGGGCGGAAGCAACAAGTGCTGCCCGGGGAAACACCACCACTTGGTCCCCCGTCCCCGTTTTGATGGGAGGGGAGGAGGAAAATGCCGCGTGTCCGTCAGTTGAGTTGAACTCAAAAACAACCGTCAACTAGGCGACTGTCAAATGCGCCACGTATCCGGATTATCGATCAAACAGCAGCGACTTTACGCCAATTTCTGGGTCTCCGTTCTGGCGCAGACACATATTGGATTTCAAAGGCTGCGGAACAGAATCGCAGCGCTGCACTTGCGGCACTTGGAGTAGCTAAAGATTATACCAACATGGATGACCGCACCATAGACTCGATTTTCCTTGGCTCCCTGGAGTCCCTGCCGCCGGTTAGCTCGAAAATCGTGCGCATCTTCACCAGCTCCACGTTCACGGGTGGGTCAATAAACCAAAACGCTTTTTTGGCCATGTGTGGCTGGGCCTGCGGCATGGTGAGAACTTGTTATGTAATCCGGATTTTCGCAGACACCACCATGGAGCGGAACACACTGATGGCCAAGTGCTATCCCCGGATCAAGGACTACTGCCGCGAGAAGCACGGCCTGGAGTTTCAGGTGGTGGACATGCGTTGGGGTGTGCGAGATGAGGCCACCGACGATCACATGACCACGGAGCTTTGCATGCGCGAGATCAAGAACTGTCAGCGACTCTCAATGGGACCGAACTTCATCGTGTTCCTGGGGCAGAAGTACGGCTACCGGCCCATTCCCACGTACATCGTGTCCTCCGAGCTGGCCCTAATCTGCGAGGAGCTGACCTCGATGGGCGTGGACCGCGCCATCCTCGATCTGTGGTACAAAAAGGACAGCAATGCGGTGCCACCCATTTCGGTGCTGCAGCCCATATCCTCTATTTTAATTAATTTCAACAACAAGGTAAGTTCTTTGGAGGAAGTTTCGATAAAGTGATAGATGAATAAAATAATCTATCAAGTGTTACCCGATGTGTGTTAAAGATGAGTGTTGTGTTTTATTTTGTATCCATTTATCCATTTTAAAAGACACATTTTAAATAATTCACAATTTTTCTTTTACCAAAATACATACATGTACACTAGTCAGTAAGAATAATGTGTAACATAGTTTATTACGAAGTCTTCAAGGGAATAAATTGACTTCCTTAGACTTGATTTAAAATAAACTAAGGTCAGAAAAAAGGTTGATTTACGTTTCAAAACTATTAAAAGACCATTATTCCCAGCGCGTGCCCAAGCTGCAGGCGGAGGATCAGGCGGTCTGGTGGGACACCCTCAACAAGATGCAGAAGCTACTGCGCAAGGCGGCCGCCTCCTTGGGGGCCAGCAACAAGATGTCCAAGGAGGATGTGCACAACTACTTCATGTCGGGTGAGTTCGTAGCGCTTAGGGAGTAGCAATCGTAGTGGTAGCTGAACAAACATTGACTCGCGTTTAGTGACGGAGCGGGAGGTGATCAACGGAATTTTGAATGTGAAAAACACGAAGAACCATTGCCTGTCGTACGTGAGGTACATCAACAACATAAATCTGCAGAACCTGAAGAAGGCCTCGCTGTTCGTGGACATCATCAACCGCAGCCTGGACACGGAGTCGGCCAAGTTGCTAAGCGACCTGAGGGACACCCGACTGCCGGCCAAGATAGAGGCCGTTAACGCCCAGAAGTAAGGCTGAAAGGGAGCGCCGAGGAGACGGAACAGGATGCTAATGGGGGGGCGGACACTTGGCACTTTTCAGATACACCGTGGAATGGATCGGTCGGGAGGGACTGGACATTGAGACGCACGAGGAGTACCTGAATCATTTCATCTCGCACTTCTATAAGAACGTGGTGAAGCTGGTGGATAGGGCGATGCGCAAAGAAGACTCCAGTGCACAGGGGCAGATAGTAACTGAGATCCTTCAGCATCTGCACGCTTGCAACAATTCGGTCAAGATATTCTACGGGCGCGAGGAAAGTTGCGAACGTATCAAGCGCTACATGCTGGGGGATTCAGATAAGCCACTTGTCCTTTTCGGCGACGGAGGCTGCGGCAAGACCTCACTGCTCTCGAAGAGCGTGGCCCTCGTGGCCACCGAATGGTTCGCCCACGCGCGGCCCATCAACGTCATCCGCTTCCTGGGCACAACGCCGGACTCCAGTGCCTTGACGGCCACCCTGATTTCCATCTGTCAGCAGGTGAAGTCCATCCAAATCCAGCCACCATTGGGACTCCCCCAAAACTAACCCTAATCGCTTCTAACCTCTTACCCTCTTATGACACACACACACACGTCCCCCTCCCCCCCTCAGATCTCTTACAACTACATGCTACCGTTCGAGAACATACCCGATGATCTTGTCCCCTTAACAGCACACTTTAAGCAATTACTAACTTACGCCAGCCCCGCCCAGCCGCTGACCATCTACCTCGACTCAGTCGACCAGCTAACGGGCACCCAAGACTCGAACAAGGTATCCTGGATACCGACGCGTCTGCCTGCGCACTGTAAGGTGAGCCCTCTACCCCGATGAGGCTGTGGACTCCACTCTCCAAGTCCACTTCCTCGCTTTCCTACTTTTACCTCTTGTGCATGAAACTCGAAATACTTTTCTCTAACTCCTAAGTGCATGATATTTAACCGATTTTTGTAAATACAAATGTGTTTCCCCCTCTCTTTCTGCATGTTACTTTTAATTTCTTCTAAATTGTTGATACTTTTGCACTTAAATTGAACTCCCCACTTTACAAATACTCTTGTAAATAACAATACGATGACCACAATTGAAAATATACTATACATATATATTTTATAAATTCTAAAATAGGTTACATTTAAATTGGTTAAAGGAATTTAATTGAGCTTCCGCAGACTTTTAACTTTAAGGTTTTATTTAACAGAGAATTCTGCATTGACTATTTTCCTAATTGAGAATAGTTATTGTGACGAATATAAGCTATTTCTCTGTTTTCTAAGGATTACTTGCCCACACAAAAACAAGCTCAATCCCCCCTGCTTCAGTCCAATTTCATCATCATTACTCATACGCCCTGTATATACACTGCATGAATCCGCATGCCCAAACTCTGAAGGGAAACTGTGTAAGTTTTTCCAATTGCTTGACCTGTGCGTGCTAAGCAAAATCACTCGACATTCAAACACCAAAAGAGCAATCGCAGGCACCTCTCCCATAACGACACCGCAAGGAAGCCGTTCTGCATGAGGCGATCCTCGCTTGGTATCCACATCCACAGCCATCCTCTGGCCAATGTCCTTGGATATAGATCCCATTCCGATTGCTTGCAGATCATCATCTCGTGCGCCAACGAGCCGGCCAATCCGACGGTGTCCCACGAGTACCATGTCCTGTGCAAGATGATCGACGTGGAGGAGAACTTCATTGAGGTGACCGCCCTGGGCGAGGATCTGGCCATGAACGTGATCAAGATGTGGATGAAGACGGCGTGCCGGGACCTCAACAACTACCAGTGGCGACTGGTGGCCAATGCGATTAGCAAGTGCTCGTTGCCGATTTTCGTGAAGCTCGTCTTCGCGGAGATTTGTCGCTGGCGCAGCTACACGCGTCCCCAGGAAACGCACCTGGCCAACACGGTGATGGACTCCATCATGCTGCTGTTCGAGCGGGTGGAGAAGCAACACGGCCGCATTCTCGTCTTTCACGCCCTGGCCTACATAACCGCCTCCAAGTCGGGGCTATCGGAGAGCGAACTGGAGGATCTCATTTCGCTGGACGACAAGGTGCTGGACGACGTCTACCAGTACCATCTGCCGCCCACGCGGCGTATTCCGCCGCTCCTCTGGACCCGTATCCGCAACGATCTGCCCAACTATCTGAGCGAACGCGAGGCGGACGGGGTCAACGTGATGAACTGGTATCACCGGCAGTTCCGGGACACCGCCAAGGAGCGCTACTTCAAGAACATGAACATGGCCATTTACTTTCACTCCATGATTGCGGACTACTATCTGGGCATCTGGGGCGGCGGGGTGCCCAAGCCGTTCAAGTTCACCGAGATTCAGCGGCACAGGTTCGGACTGGCGGACAAGGAGGGCTCGGCGGACCGAAAGGTGCCCATCCAGCCGTTGGTTTTCAGTAGCAAGGACGGACTGTCCAAGCGCTACAATCTGCGCAAGGTGAGTTGGGGGGATTTTATACTTTATACTTCGATTGAAATAATCCTCAAACCCTCAAACAGTTTGGCGAGCTGCCCTTCCACTTTGTCCGCTCGCGTCGCTTTAAGGATCTGTTCGAGCACGTCCTCTTCAACTACGACTGGCTGCACGCCAAGCTCTCCAGCTGTCCGCTGCAGGCGGTGCTGGCGGATTTCGAAGATGCCTCCAGCAACACGGACGACAAGGAGGCCAAGCGGGAGCTGATGCTGGTCTCGGATGCCCTGCGCCTGGGTGGCGCCATCCTGGCCATCTACCCCAATATGCTGGCGCCGCAGCTGGTGGGACGACTTCTGCCCGAGATTGGTGGCAATCCCAACATCAAAATGCTGCTGCGGGCCTGCGATCGCAGTGGCCCCAAGGACTGCGCCCTCATTCCGGTCAATCATTGCCTGCACACGCCAGGAGGACCACTAAAGGTAGATGGTATACTCAAATTGGTTGGACAATTGATCTTAATCGCAGTTTGATGCGAATAGTACTCCCTGGAGGGCCACCAGTTCGCGGTGTTTGCCTTCTGCCTGACCAGCGACATGCGCTACATGGTCTCCATATCCACGCACTTCATCACCTTTGACCTGTCCACGTCGGATCTGACGCGGGACGTGAATCCCGGCATCGAGGGCATTATGCAGCAACTGGTCCTGAGTCCGGACAACAAGTGGGCCGCCGCCTACTCCAACAACAACCAGACGGTCCTCTTAAACATGCTCTCCAGCGAGTTTGTGGTGATCAACAGTCCCTTCGAGGAGGCCCACGGACCAGTCAGCGGCCTCTATCTGCTCAATCAAAAGTAAGCTTTTTTTGGGATCTTGCGGGTTGGTAATTCTACTTTGTTTCAGTTTGTTCATCACCTGCAAGCTTCGGTGGGCTCAGTTCGATATGCGCGGCAATTTGGTAGATACCTTCGATGTACCTGGCGAAAATGAAGATTGGGAGATCCTAAGTAAGTATGATTTCTACCTCTTAGGATATATGATATACATATAAATTAAATGGAAATGGGATAAATTAGACTATTATAAAATTAAATGACACATGAGTGATTATTTCCTAAAAGTATATGTATTTTTTTTTTGTTGTTACACCTATTGTATAAGGGTTTTAGAATTATTTAAAAAATATTTATTTGAAAGAAGCAAAGTTACAGCGATGCTATATTTTGTTTAAGTATACTTAAAATTTTATTTGGCAAAGGATAAAAAACAAATAAAAAATGCTCATCAAATAATGTTTTTCCCAAACAATAATTGGAAATTATTTCACAAACAAATATTTATGATGCATATACACTACTAGATCGGGTTCACCTGATTTAGGGAGATCATATGCGTAAGTTTTATATTTATGATTTAACTTGGTACTTACCCTTGTCTCTCCAGATATGGAGTTCTTTACCGCTGCGGACTACAACGTGGTCTTCTGGTCGGGCTCCATCAACGACATGCGCCTGAGGCTGGACTCGTGTCGTAGTGGTCACCACTCCAACTCCCAGCGACTGTTCAGCGCCATGGTCATGAACAAGGAGAGGACCAGGGCATACGGCTGTGCCAACGAGGAGAACTTCGGGGTTTCCGTGTTCGACTTCGTCGAGGACAAGGCCACCGGAGAGATCCGCTGGACTCTGGTGGAGGACCTGCCGCGATTCGAGAACGACGACAAGGAGATGCTGCTGCAGTTGCGCCTCGACCAAAACGATCGCATGCTGTTGGGAACTGCGGGCAAGGGGTTTGTGATCTGGGACTTTGGCAGCCGGGACAAGGACTCGGATGCGGAATCCCGCTTAAGGGAGGGCGCACTGTACCTGGCACTTCCCCACGGGGTGCGCAACATCACGACCCGGATCATGCAGTCGAACTCCATCATGGTTAGCTCCAAATTGGACTACGCCGTGGCCGGAGTGCGTAAGAATTTGTACGTGTGGTGTCTCGATTCTGGACAGCTAGCAAAGGTGCTGGACGCCCACTTCGGGCGCATCATCCAGCTGGAGCCGCTGACCATCGGCAACTGGAACAACCTGGTCACCTCGTCCATCGACCGATCCGTGAAGGTGTGGAACATCAACAACATCTTCGAGAAGGTCCATGTCATTGATCGCCACGAGCTGCAAATCGACGACATCAGTCTGTCCGAGGTGGACATGGCGGTGACCGTCACCCGCAGCTGTGTGGGCGTCTGGGAGACGCGATCCGGTCGCCTGCTGGCCAAACTGGCCGACAGTCCCCTGGGCGCCATCGTCACCCATGCCGAGATCACACCGGACGGCCGCTACATCATCTCCTCCGAGACGGGCAAGTTCCTGGTGTGGAATCGAGTGTCCGAGCAGGTTGTTTTCCGGGACGACCAGCCCGGCATCCAGCAGATCACGCTCATGGACTACGGGTACAAAGTGCTCACCGTCTCCGTGCCGAACATCAACCAGCGGGACATTCTGGCGGCTGCTGCTGGCGGATCCGCGGATGACGCCAACCGGCTGACGGCCATAACCACTATGCGATCGGTGCCAGGTTAGTATGTTTATGATTGCACCCATCTTGCCTGCTTAAGTTCTTCTTTAAAGAGGGCGCCATCTTGTTCCGGTTCGATTTTCCCATACGGATGATCACGGGCATGCCATTCCGGCAGTCGGTTATTACGGCGGACAACGCCTACATCGTGGTGGTGACCGTGGACAAGTCCAACAAGGATTGCCTGGGCGTGTACAGCGCCACGAACGGGGCCTTCGTGTCCAAAATCCTGCTGAAGGGCTGCTCCATCAAGGAGGTGATCTCGCTGGTGCCGATGCCGCACAAGGCCAACCAGGTGGCCGTGATCAGCAGCGAGAAGGGCAGTGTGATGGACATTAAGACGAAGAAGCACGTCCGCTCCATCGCCAAGTGGGGCGGCAGCATCACACGGGATGGCAAGTGCGGCCTGTATGCGCCCACCCGCGGCGGACTGGAGATGCTGGAGCTGCGCAAGGGCACCACGGTGAAGACCTTCATACCCAAGGTGGCCGAGGGCGTCTTCTCGGTGATCTGCATCTTCACGGAGAACGACGAGTATGTGGCCTACTACCACAGCGGTCGCAAAACCATACGCGTGTTCCGCACCGGGGACACCGAGATGATAGCCAACTACCGTCTGCAGGCGGAGCTCACGGCGATCAAGAGCAGCAAGGACGGACGCGCCATCGTCCTGGGCACCGTGGACGGCTGCATGTCCGTGCTGGCCATCGTGGATCCCAAGAAGGAGGAAATGAACGAGTTCCTCAACGACTTGCCCTCCCGCGACGAGAACTGGAAGGCCAAGCTGGCCAAGATGAAGGCGCGGGTGGGCTTCAAGGCGGCCATCCGGGTGGCCACCATCTCCTCGCGCTACGCGAAGACCAGCAAGGGAGAGGACGGCGAGGAGGAGCTGCTGACGGAAATCACCGAGGACGTTGTGATGCCAGTGGCCGACTAGCTTGGTTAGCCGATTTATAAATATAACATTTATTTTCGCATATAGTTCATGTTACAAAAATACGCTGCGTGTCTACTGTGTGTTCGTGTGTGTGTTATCCTGCGTGTACTGCGTGCTTACGGCATCGAAATCAGTGTGAGTGTGTGTTGTGTGCGGGTAAAACTGAATGAGTCTTAAACTAAGCAATGGTTAGGGGGTAACTGTAACTATTTGGTAAATAACTACGGTTAGCTAATACGAGTATAAATTAGGAGTTTTTTAGCGCGCACTGAGCCCAACGCTTGGCTTGAAACAATTTGAGGCGTGTTGAGAGTGTTGAAAACATAACCAGACAAAATAACAAGAATCGATTCTAGTGGGCGCGTGATGCAAAACAATGACAATGACCTTTCAAGTGTACACAAACCTTTAACACGCTACTGCTTTCACTGATAATTTAAACAAAATAGCGTTGGCATACATAAACTAACAAGCTGTCTACTGGAACCCGTTTTTCTCGGTCACAATCGCCACACTTCCATCTCAACTTAGCCAATCGAATCAAATCAAATCGAAATGAATCGCATACGAAACACAACTCAGTGCTAATACATAGACCGATCAATTGTTATTAGTACAAGTACAATACATAGTTGAAGGAGACATAGTAATAGTGTTATCTGTTAATTATTGTTACTGTTGTTAACCTGCTTTTGACACCCACTGCTGCTCCTGTTACCACACATTATTACCGTGGATATATATATGTGCCGACTTGTAAGCATATAACTATGTTAAATAAAAAATGATTCATGTAGTTAACGAGGCCTGGCTCGATCAGTGTGTTTTCAGTGTGTCTCTGATTCTGCAGAATTGGTTAGCTGCCGCCGTTTATAGCTAAGGATTTCCAGCTACGGGAAGCGCACAGCTTATTGGGCATGATTCTCCTTCTTGATCTGGGCCAGCTTTGCCTGGAGATGCTGCAAGCGATTGGGCGACATGTCCCGCTTCTGAAACAAGTACATTTGTTATTTGCCAACTATTTCCGCACTGTTTGCACTCACATCTCGCTTGATGAGCGACGCCTTCTGTGAGTTCATGCCGTTCAGGCAGAGATTCTCGTCCACCACCTTGTTGTCCAGCATGTGAGATCCATCGTCCGCTGAACGGGCGGAGGCCAGTTTGCCGGCCACTCCTCCGCCGGACAAGTGATACTGCAGGCGGTCCATCCAGAAATCGGCATCATGCCCGCTGTTCTGGTTGTTGACATCTGTGAGATAAGAACGAGTAGCGGCTGCAGTTCGTCGGATTTAAGACGCATTTATAAATGCATGTGCATGTGATTAGTAAATGAAATCGAGTGTTAAACGTTCCGTGCGCAGCCCTTACCCGTGCGATTGTCCGGCGCCTGTGCAGAGCCGGCGTTCTGGTTGCGCTCGATCTCGGCCAGACCCTCCTCGATGTACTTGTGGAAAGTGGCACTTGAGCCCTGGAGGAAGGTGCTCAGATCGATATCTGGGTTTTGTTGCTGCAATGTTGTGGAACAATGCCTTAGCATAAACATCAACAAGAATATCTTTAAACACACACACCTTAAAGTCGTAAAGCTTTTGCAGACCTTGCTGCTTGGTATCCCTATCCGAGATAAGCTTAAAGATCTGCGATACTGTGTCATGAGTTTGGTGCGAAATACGCTTGGCGGCAATCTCCTTGGCTTTCTGGGGCGATGCTCCAATTCCTGCTGCAGAGCCATCCTTCTGGAAATTCTACAAAGGCATTAAGGCTTTATAATGATCATAAATCTTTTATAAAATTATCTAAAAAACCCACCTTGAGGATGCGTATTAAATACGTGTGTAGCTCCGAGTGTGTGGGAATCTGGTTGAGATGCTGCAGAATGGCGTTACCCTTAACCTTTGCCATGTTGTGCAGAATGGTCTTGATCGTTCGCATCGGAGTGTCCGACGGTCGATTCTGCCACCAGGTACTGGGCAAGGCCAGCATGAACTCGTGCACCTCCAAAATGACGGCGTCGTAGTTCAGCTCGTTGCTGCGCTCTGGCAACATCTTAACGTTTCGCCAGATGCACTTCATCAGCAGATCTGTGAACTTGGGTAGCTTGGCCTCAGGACAAGTCTCGCGCAGCAGACGTATCAAAGCACTGGAATGGTTTTTGAGTACCATAAACGATGCGACTTAACACTGTTCATTTAAACTTACCAGTTTAAATTTGTAAAATCGACCTTATCCAAAACTTTGAGGCAAATGCCATTTATAACCTTATTATACTGACTGTCATCGCCCACTGCCAACTTGGGATCGGCCATCAGGTTTAGCAGCGCCGACATAAGGTTCTTAATGCAGGCCACGCTCAGCGTTTTGCCCAGAATGTTGGCATGGAAAAATGTATACAGAATGGATAGCAGTGGCTGGTACACGACCACGGATTGAGCCGATGGTATCTGTGAGAGATTCTGCAAGCCAAAATCGAAAGGTAATTATTTAAAGACCTGCATACACAACCTATGTTGTGTACCTTGAACTGTGCCAGCACATTCTGGATGAATATTTCCTCGTAGTCACGCATCACGGCCTGCTTCTCGGGAGCCTCGATGATGGCGCCCAGCTCGTTGATAGAGGCGCGAGCCTTCAGCGTGTCCGTGCTGCTAACCCCCTTAATCACCTTGATCAGGTGCGGATCGTGCTTGGGCAGAACATCAGCCAAGCTGAGGGAGGTATGGAAAATAGAAGTAATGAATCGGGTCAATGAGTCAGGCGAATGGAACACCTACTTTGGTATGTTATTCTCCAGTTGCTGGGGCACCTGTTGGTGCTGCAGACGCATGGGACTGCGGTAGGGCGAGATGCCACTTGTCATGCCGCCGGTGGACGACGGAGACGTGGTCAGGGTCTGCTGCATGTAGTGCTGCCGCGAAATCAGGCGATCGAACTTCTCCTGTGGATAGTGAACACCGGCGCGAGTCGGCCTCACCCTAATGGGTTCGTCCAGCGACGAGATGTCCACGTTCAGCAGTGGCTTCTGTTCCATTTGGTCCACGCGGACCCAGTCTTTCTCGATGTCGCTTATTACCTGAGAATCTAGGCCGAAGGGACCGCTTGGCTTCTGTTGCTGGGCCTGCTGCTGCAGCTGTTGCAGTTGCTGCTGAAGTAGAAGCAGCTGCGACGATGGCGCCTGGTCAAAGGTTCTGTGGAATGTGGGAGGGAACAAAAGCGTTAGAGCAATTGTGGAAACCTAATTGAGCTTGGTACACGAAAAGCAATGACAAAAATGAGAACAACAAAGGCGAAGGCGACTTCATACACAATCACACCAGCAAGCAACACAAAAACAAATGAACAAACGACACACTAAGTATAAGGAAAGCCACTTTACGCCTGTCGAGTCAGAGAGTTCAAGTAGGCAACCACATTGGTGGCACTCCGCTCCGTCAGGTTGCTCTGCCCACGCGCATTTAACTGCCGCTGCAAACTGAGTCAATAAAATAAAAATATAAACGAAAATCAACAGAAAACCAACCGAAATCAACGAAATTAAAAGGTTACATCTACTGATATGTCCGAGGTTGGAAACCACTCTAAAATGCAGTAAGAAACTTGTACGAGGGCACGCAAATGGTTTGTTGTCCATCTAAATGTGCCATTTAAGTATTTGTCATGGCAATTCAAGATTTTAAATTGATTGATTTATTTGTATTAAACCAAAGCCATGATAATGTAAAAGCCTTGATTTGTTCTATTAACACTCACAAATAATTTACAAAATAAACACATAAACGCAAGTTATAAATGCTTCTTGTTTTGGAATTTCGTTGTTTTGGACGACATGGTTTGGATTTAGAGGTTTTCTCGGGCCTTGTTCACAATGCTGGCAGCAGTTTCCAACCCTCGGCTGCTTAGGGCACCCAACAAACTAAGTAGATAATTGGCCAGTATCTAGGGTCGGGGGAAATTGGTTTTATAAGTCAGCCCCGCACACTTACCCCTCCTCGTCGGGTGGCGGCAGCTCGTCGCAACCGTTGCCCACCTCTGCATCTTCGATATCGATGCTGTCTTGTCGCTGAGTTGTGGTGGGCCTGCCGCTGGCGGGCATATCGACAGATGCCGGAGGCGTTGGCTTCTTCGTCTTCTTGGCCCGCTTGATGCGCTCGTCGAGCATGGACAGATCCTTCTCGTTGAGATGACCAATCATCTTGTAAGTCTTCTCGCCGGACAAGAAGAACACCTGCACGATGCAGTTGAGAGCTGCATTGCGCACAGAATTATCTCGGTCGGAGATCTGGCGCGCAATCTCCCGGACTGCCGCCTGGGGGGCGATGCTCATGCCGTAGGTTTCAATCAGGAAGGATAGTTCGTCCAGGCACTCGGTTCGCTGACGGGCGTTTTTCGACTTAAGACCCTCCATCACATATGCAAACACCTTGACGTAGGGAAAAACCAAGATAACTTGCCGCAGGACGCGACGTACGCCATTTCGGACTGCATCCTTGGGATCTCCGATCTGCAAAAGCACAAAGCAGTTAAGTAACTTTCTCTATTTCCCGTATAAACAGTCTGACCTTCAAAAGCAGGTGGGGCACAAAGCAGCTGCCCTCGTTTTCGGCTAGAATGTATTCCTGGTCAATGAGCATCTGGAAGACCTGCACCAGATATTCGAGACCCTTAATCAGCACAGAAGGGTTCGTATCGTAGAAGCGCAGCGTCAGCCATTTGAGGATCAGGTCCAGATTGCACACCAGTGCCTTGCTGTTGCCAGCCAGATCTTCGCTTAACTGCTCGATGACTTTCAAGTGATAGCTGGAAGGGAATTCAAGGGTTTATCTTTGGAGTTCAGCAGGGATAGCCGTAGGACTCACCGAAAATCGTCGTGGAACATGTTGGCTAGCAGCGCCTTGTTTACATTGGCCGTCATCATCTGGTCGCGCAGCAGATCGGTAAATTCCTCGCGTGGTGTTACGAAGGTCCATTTGAGCACCTTCATTTTCTGCTCGTCCAGCAGTCGCTGGTTCT